GTGGTTGGAGGTTGTCCACCCAGCCAGAGACTAACAGGCTTAACATGGGAGATCAGACAACACCACAGCAAATGCTAAACTACACCTTTATTTATGACAGCTCTGGATGAGTGTTAATTATTAGCTGAAAGTAGTATGTTCTAGAGGCTGATTGCATTACAGCATGGGAAGGGCCAACTGCATATGAAATGTGTCTGTAGGCAGAGCAGCAAAGAAAACCACTTTGGAAGAGAAGAGGAATTTTTTGTTGTTGTTGTTTTTCTTCACTAAATACGCAACTTTTATAAACGTCATGTAGCCATAATGAGGGATTTACATGAATTTATTTAGGAAGCTTTTAAACATGATTTGATTGAGACAGGGTGGATTAACATGGTGATAACGTGCAGCAGGTATGTAGGAAGTGCTGACTACATCACATATACTTCTTGTTAATAGCTGTTTGGACTTCTAGATTAGGTGTTTTCTTGTGAAGTGTCTATTTAATCAGTGTAGCAGTCTGCAAAAGGGGAAACTGTATGTGGCATAGAACAGAATAGTTTGCTAGACATGAAATGTGATTTTAGGACTGGTGGTCTGAAGGGGTTTCCTTTTGTCAGGCTACAAAATAAATTGGAGTTTTAGCTCTGTAAGGTTATTTAAAAGAAAAAAGAATACTGATGTGTTTTATACAGGATCCTGTACTTTGCTTTCAACTCCTAAGCAGCACAAATATCTTACCATTCTTTAGAGTCATAAAACCATTCTATGGGTAGTGTACATGTGTTTTGCCTATCTCCACTTATTTCCAATTAGGTGCTTCACAGGGATGTCTATTTTTGAATAAGCTGGCAAATATTATGTTGTGATGGCTGTAACTATGTACTTTATTGATTTACAATCTCACTTTTAATCAATCTACCTGGAAATAGGATGACATAATTATTTTTCTCCCTGGTTAGATGGTGGAGAATGTAGGAAGGGAAAGGGATTCTGGGCTTGCTTGACCAGGCATTACCAGACTTCTAAATTAAATCTGCCTTGGGTTTCTGCCCTTGTGATACATGAATCTTTGCATAATTCAATTATTTGAATGTTACAAATTAAACAACAGGTTAAGAAAAAAAAAAGAGATAAAGCATAGAAATGTAGTAAAATGAGAATCAGTCACTTCGTAGTGCAATATTCAATGGACAGTCCTCCAAGAAAACATGTGGTATGTGGTACAACATATGATTTATATAATTTTGAGGTTACCTCCTTATCTGACCCCTGAAATAAATGATTTGATCAAGGCAGGCAGCCTTCCCTTTCACAGGAGTGCAGTTTGCTTTCCATAGCTGTTGTAGTTGAGTATGTTTGGTATTTGTGTCAGTGACATTAAGTATGGTGCAAGATTTGGTACTGGAAAAATGATAGAGAAGTCAATTGCTAGAATAAAAGTATTCAAAAATGACCGTATTCTAGGGCTAAATCTTGCTTTTTGACTGTGAGCAAGAAGGGGAAATGCAAGCCACTTGTAATCAGGAAGCACCTCCTTCCCATACTGGGGGAGTAGGCTTTCAGAAAGACTTTTCCATTCTCAGTTGGTGAGGCAAGAAGGTGCTTGTTGGCAGGAGGACCAGCCTCACCCCTGTATTATTGTAATTTCTGGCTTGAATAGAGGCACGTGTGCTCAAAACATGAGTGTAAATTAATGTTAAGTAGTGTTGTGGTAGTACATGGTTTAGTTGTGGATTTGTCAGTGTTAGGTTAACAGTTGGAGTCACTGATCTTAAAGGTCTTTTTCAACCTAAATGAATTCCTGAATTCTATAATTCTACATAGATGACTATACTAGTGGTTACTGGTTTCTGTCTGTTGTGGTACTAGATGAGCCATTATTGTAAGGATCTCCCAGGGCATGGGAAGAAGGATATGCTGGGATTTTTGGTCCCCACATTATTTTCAGGGCCTGATTCAAAGTCACAAACACAGATTTACTTCAGTGCTCCTGACTACAGCCACAATTTCTAGGTGTCCTAGAAGGAAATGGTTTATGAATTTATAAAGACATTCACTTCTCTGAAAGTGTGATTGATAGTGTCCCTACATATCCGAACCTGCATCCTAATTGCTCTGCTCAAGTTCTGCAAGTTAATGTTGAAGTATTTGCCTACTGTCTATACATGAATTTCTGAGAATTTTGATGAAGGACAAAAGATATGTAGCTGTGTTGTAAGAGGATGAAAAGTTAAAACAGGATAAGCTTGTAAAATAAAGATTGAATCTGTAAGCTTGAAATCCATTGAACTCATCCAGAGCACAGTACAATGCAAACCCTCTTATTCAAGGTCTGCTAGTTAAGTGTACCACAGCACTGCCATGATCCATCAAACCTGCCAGATAAAGACAGGCTATTTTAAAATTTCCCCTTCAGGGCATGGGGAAGTACTGTTCTTTCAAAGATAGAAATTTATGATGATGCTAAAAAAAATGCAGATGAAGTGAATAATTAATGAATTCAAGACAGGACTGAAATATCTTCCTAAAATGTTGCTATTTTTAGCAGGGAGTGCTTCTGCAGTGCTTGTCATGTGATCCTATTGCCTTCTGAGAGCAAGACACCAATTTGAATTAGCTTCTCTTTCCCCATGGACCTATAGGCCCAGCATATAATACCCCTTAGCATCTGCTTCTGCCTTAAAGCAAACAAAGTGATTTTAAATCTCATGCAAAATAAAACACTAATGAAAGCTATACTTAAAGACAATTTTTACAGCAGCTGAGTAGTTTTTATAATAGTCCATACACTGATTCTGTACAAGGGGGCTACTGCAATGTGTTCAACTTTCAGCTGCTGCTGAGCTCCCATAATACTCAATGCTGCTCCAGTTTCTAGATGTCAAAGGACACAGAGGCATTTATCAATAGGAGGTTGCAGGATCTGGCCCATAGATAAGGATTTAATGTAAACAGATTTATGCTGGTTTTCCCTACAACCAGTATGGAGTGTTGCTATGAGCTACTTCACACATTAAAAATATTATGGTCAGAAACATCTCTAAAACGTTATATACAGCCAGCATATGCGCGTGCTCACATTTCTGCATGTGTTGCTCATCTGGACCCTAGGGAGGGAAGTCTCCTGGTCGAACTGCAGGAGAGGGTGTGAAGGGTGGGACTGGTGTCTTGTCACCACAGGCCCCTCCTGCGATTGTTCAAGCCACAGCCACCCAGGTCACAGAGGACATGGCCACTGCTGTAGTGAATACTTAAGTGTTTAACATCCAAAACGTGGTCCTGAAGGGGATTTCTCCTTCCTGAAGGGTAATAAGGTTCCCAGTGCCCATCAAAGGGGAAGTCAGGAGCTGCTTACTTGCTGCCTTTTTTGCCTACTGGAGCTGCCACAGGTTGAATTTTGAAGAAACCTCCAAATCCCAAACCTTTAGGCACTGAGGAGGACCCTGGCTTTGCAGCCCAGTACCCAGTTCAGAGGGGTGCAGAGGGGTGCTTGGCTTGCTCTCTCCACTTGTGCAGAAGTTGTTCTCCCCACATGGAATAGTTCCCTGGTGACTCCTGTAAGGTGCTCCTTGGACCTGGCTGGGACCCCAGTCCCCAACCCTATTGGGCTGCAGAGCTCTACTCCAGGAGCAGCATGCTTGCCATGCAAAGCAGCAGTGAAATGTCAGGCTGAAGCACATTGCTGTGGGAAGGGGTTGTGAGCTGAGTCCCAAGAAGCAGAGGTGGCCCCAAAGGTGACTGCAGCCCCAGGGCAAGCTGCAAGCTTCAGTGATGGTGGGTTTTGGGAAGCTCCTGGTTTAAGCCATGGATGATGGCTTCTTGGGAGCACTGGAGCTTGAGCTGTGGCTCCTTACACAATTATGGCTTAGGTGCTTTGCTGCATCTGATTCTTGGTCTCCCTTCTCTATGTTTTCCCTCTCTACGTATGTATCTAAAAGGACTGTGTTAAGATTTAATTTCCACATGTACAGAAGTCTGTGTTGTGTGGAGCTTTGTAATAATTAGAAATTGATCCTCAGCTGGAAGCTCAGTTTGGTGTGAGTGCTATTCAAGTGAGAACTCTTGTTATGAAAAAATATATTAAATTATCATTATTACTTTTTTTTTTTTTTTTTTTTTGCCTTGCCAGCTGAAAAGACTTTCCAGGCTCTCCCATGTTAGAGCTCCACCACCTTTTTTTCAGTCTTCTTGCTCAGTCATTTGTGTGAGTTCTTCATAAAATTAATCTCATTCTCAGGTGGCTGCTTTTTAAGCAAACATCATCTATTTAGACCTAAAGGATGTAGAGAGGTACACACAGATGGAATAAGTGGGTGAACTGGAAGGAGTGGAAGTCTGTGGCAGGGGGATCTGATGAATGGTTGATGTCATCAATGGGTCCTGTCAGTAGGGCAGGACACAAGGACAACCCCAGTAAAGCAAGCCTGGAGGAGTTTCCCCACCTAACTTCATGTCGGCCCATGGGGTTGTGCTCTTGTTTGAAGCCGTCTTGTGTTGTGCTTCTGTGATACAAATAATAAACCAAACAAAGAATAGTAAACTGTATCTTTTAAAATTAATGAAATACATTGAGTTCTCCATGCAATGAAAGGACATAGACATTTTAAGGCCCTAAATTGTATTGCAGCCCTGCAAACCAGTTCTAGATTTCTTTATTTCTGTCTGTTTTTTCGAACGCCTGTACTCATGATTGAAGCAATTAGTTATATAAGTCCAGTCATGTCTTGTGAGCTGCTTTGGAATGATCAGAAATGAAAATATCTGGGTTTAGTTTTGATTTGGAGAATGAGGCTTTTAGAGAATAATTTTTTCTTCACATAGAATTATCTACCCTTATGACTTCTTAATGAAATACTCAGCAATGCAGCTTTACTTAGGTAAAAGTAGGAATATTGAGTTCATTTTGTGAATTGACCAAGGATGTACTGATTTCAAGCTGTGAAAATAGTAATTCTTTTAAAAACAGCTTATTTTTGTGTCTGTCTATCTCCTTACTGCTTTTTCTTTTCTTTCCATAGGAAAAATTAACCCAGGAATGTGTATTCAGAGAGCAGTTTGAAGAAAACTGGTATAACACATATTCTTCAAATCTATATAAACATGTGGACACTGGAAGACGATACTACGTTGCGTTAAATAAAGATGGGACTCCAAGAGAAGGGACTAGGACTAAACGGCATCAAAAATTTACACATTTTTTACCTAGACCAGTGGACCCTGAGAAAGTACCGGAACTATATAAGGATATTTTAAGCCAAAGTTGACAAAGACAATTGCTTCACTTGAGCCCTTAAAAAGTAACCACTATAAAGGTTTCATGCGGTGGGTTCTTATTGATTAGCTGTGTCATCACATCAGCTCCACTGTTGCCAAACTTTGTCGCATGCATAATGTATGATGGAGGCTTGGATGGAACATGCTGATTTTGTTCTGCACTTAAAGGTTTGTCCTCCTGGAGGAGAGCCTATGCCCACTCGCTTGATTTAGTACGAGAGGGAGCGCGAGAGAGTGAGTGCGAGAGAGAGAGAAAGGGAGAGGATGAATGGGAGTGAGAGTGCGAGAGAGAGGAGCCAAGGGGAGGAGGAGGAGGAAGGCCTGATGCATGCTGGGGAATAGACACGCTTTTAAATTTTTGATCAGTTGTACTTCATCATATATCAGCATAGCTGCCATACTTTGATTCATCCGGATTTTTGGCTGGTGGCCTGCTCAAGTGTACGCTGCATTTACAAAGGCATGGAGGGTGCAGTCTTACTTAAACAAGAGACTTTTCAGTTAATTGCTCTCTGGGTCTCACCCCACTGAGTTTAAAGCAAAGACCTCTTAGTAAAAAAATAAAAATAAAAAGTTAAATTTATTTATAGAAATTCCAAAGGCAACATTTTATTTATTTTATATATTTATTTATTATATAGAGTTTATTTTTAATGAAATATGTACAGGCCAGATAGGCATTTTGGAAGCTTTAGGCTCTGTAAGCATTAAACTGGCAAAGGCCACTATGAACCTGTGGTAAATTCATGCAAGTAAATATAAAGGTGCATGGATAAAAAAAAAAAAAACCAAACAATAAAAAGGTAATAATAATAATAAATTCTAGTGACCCTCATGTACTAAAGGCGACAATCTCTTTTGTGCCCGTATTATTGTACAAGTATGCACACCACTCATGACACTGAGTCCTCACTCTTCTGACTGCTTGTTTCATAGCTTACCCCCAGAGGATTAAAGAGAAAACTGGGTCTTCAACTTTGTGTCTGTAATATTTCCTCTCTGATAAAGTGACTTCTTACATTGTTGTAAACTTCACAGCTGTGGAAAATATAGGGTTGGAATACATTCTACTTGTTAAAACCTATTGCATATTATACCAAAGCTAAATGATAAATTTGCCTTTTTTTTTTTTCCCTAAAGCAGAATGCCAGAAACAACATAAATAATACCAACAATTGTACTAATTTTAAGATTCCACAAATAGCACATAATTATTTCAGAGGGCAAGAACCAGGTTAACAGGATCACTCTTGTAAACATGTTTATTTGTGCACTTGACTATCTACTATGAAATTATACAAGTTCCATAGGGGTCATTGTAACATCTTTTATGGAAAATTGCTTTCAGTGTGAACTGTCATAATACATGATATTAGCACCCTTCCTAAAGTAAAACTTGCAAAATGAAACTAATAAATCTCTATCAATAATGACAATGAGGGGGACAGTATTAGACTTTTTTTTTTTTTTCCTGAAGTATGTTCAAATATTCATGAACCATAAGTGAGCCAATAGTATGTAATATTTAAGGCATTGTAGCATTTTATGTTAAGCACACAAACACGTTGATTAGCAGTTACCATTTGGGAATTAACCCTTAGGAAGAGGCATTTTTTCCCCAGTACCCTGAAGGAAAAAAAAAAAAAAAGGAGAGAAATCATGTAAGGTCCATTGGTCCATCTGACAAATGCATTTTATAGTTGTTGTATTCCTTTAGGATTTGAATCCAGTGCCATTACATTGAGTGTAACCTTTGCCATTGGATCTGTGGGGAGCGTGGCTGGTTTTGACACCCATGGCTGTCTGCAGAGGCACAGAGGCTGAGCACAGATATGCTTTCGAGGAGCTATACATAAGTTTGTAGCCTGTTTATAGTTAAGTCATTTTTGCTCTAAGGCACTCTTGTCCATGTGATATATATTATTTGAAACATAATTCTGTTCTGGAATAACCTCTGGCTTAGTGTCTTGAACGAACATGACCTTTCTGTACTCAAGCAGGTGAGGGGGGGCCATGTCTCAACGAGTGATATCAATAATCTTAAATAAAATGTGGCATTTTATTATAATTGTTTTGAATGATAAAGATATGTGAATTACATTAGTTGATTTGTAGGATACAGTTAGACATACTTGTCTAGGGACTGTTACTGCCTAGGAATTTACAGTCTTCGACTGCAGCCCACAAGTTTGTTTTTAACCCTTCGGAGCTGCTGAGACCCGCAGGTAGTTTGGATGCTGAGGGTCAACCGGGTGGTGAATCATTTTGTCCGGGTGGTGCAAAACCATGCTGGACCATAGGAAAAGAAAGCATGCTTCTGGGGAGGACTAGGGTTCATCGCCCAGTGTTAAACAGATCAACCCTACCGCAAGGAAGGGAGGTTACAACTCTCGTTCACTAAATCTGACATACACCGGGAAATTAATTGCAAAGTTTAAAAATACCATGAGTTGAGGCCACAATACTAGGCCACGGTTTGAGTTTTAATGTTAAATTGACTTGGATTTTTAGTCATAGGCAAATCATTACTACTAGTTAACATGTTTTATTTAATTTATTTTTTTTGTATTTTTCTAAAGAAAGGATTAAATGCAAGAAAAATGTTATGAGTTTATGGCAGTCCATATCAATAAACTGTAACCGATTTACTCGAATAACCCATAATGGTGTGTAAATACTGACTTTATGTAAATACAGAAACATGTAATTTAACATAGGCATTATTGCGAGACTGGATGGTCCAGTCTGCCACTCCCTGCAGGTTCACTGGGTCAAATTCAGCCTGTTTTGGGTAGCAAGCAACAGATTCTGTTCGGTCACTTGTGTAAAATGAGTGATTTCTCTTTGTTTTCTGCGGGGGATGGGCAAAACCATCATTACCCGGGTGCTGCTTAGCTCCTTTGCCAAGGCATGAGGGGGTGCAGATGCCCTCCCGTTCCTTATGTGAATCCTGCTAAAACAGGGCTGGAGAGACCTGACATGGCAAAGTGGGGAGGCTTGTAGTGCTGCTCCTCCTCTGCTGTGGACAAATGGAAATCTTAATTTTCTAGTGCTGTCCATCTGGTACCTTTCTTGAGCACTAAAATCACTTGAAGAAAAATTTGAGGGAAAAACAAAAGAACAATTGGTCTTATATATGATATTCTGTAATGGTGTGTAAATACATACAGAATTCTGTAATTTGTATAAATACATTGCTATAGAATTTTGAAAATTGGTATTATTTGCTTGACGTCCCTTCAGAGCATTATCTTATAACCATGCACGTGTGTAATATAACAAGATTGCAAAAAGAAGTCCTTTCTTGTTCCTAGAAAGGGTGTGAGAAAATTCCAGGAAGACCAAACCCATCAATATTTTCTATATCTTTTTGCTAGATTGGAAGAAAGCAGTGGAATATCTTTTTGGCAAGAATTGCATTAGCATTTCACTTGAATCAGATCTGTCTGGGCAAGCAGCATGGGCAAAAAGGTGATGGAGAGCCAGAGCAATGTTACTGTATGGGCTGGTTTTGAGCTCCATCTGGTAACGTGTTGGGCAGCGCTCCCAAACTTAAGTGGAGTGGATGAAACCTAGCAGAGCTGGGTGGTGCAGAGAATGGAAAGAGAAAAATCAGATGAAAGCTGTCTTCAATTGTCACCAATCAGTGCAGAACTTAAACTGCCTGCCAACTAGAAGGAGAAAAAGATGCCTTTCATAAATGACTGGTTGTAACATGTGGAGACTGGAGATGGGACTCTCTGGTGTAAAAAGTCAAGCATTGCTATCGTCCCCCTGGAAGAAGATAAATGTTGGTTTAATAAATATACAAATAGGAGGGAGTTGGAAGAGACTGCTTCCAAGTCAGTCTCTAAGTTTCTTTAGAGACAGAATATGGCAGGAGGTAAGAGAAGGTGCATCTGCAGCATGTCTTTCAGAGTCCCTTGCATCATCATCTTAGCTTATGCTCTGCTCTGCATACTCTTGTATCAAGTAAAGAAGTGAATATAAGGTCCAGCTCTGATACCCATGATCATAGGAGTAGAAATGGACTGTGCTCATTGTAAGAACCCCTGCCCCAGCTAGTGAATTCTTACAAGGTCCCCGTGATGTACATCAGCAGACACAGAGACAGGGATATAGCTGGGCTCCTTACAACTGCAGTTTGTTTAGCAGAAATGTGAGGTACAGGATTCTTTGAAATTTTGATGAAATCTTGGAAACTCAGCCCCTGCTCATGTAGCTGTGTATGTGTAGGCAGCCCTATTTGTAAGTAGGGAGTCTGGGGGAAGAAGTAAGCCACATTGTCCTCAGTATTTTTTTCCACACAGCATATCATTTACTGATCTGAGAATAGAAACCAGAAGACTTCTGTTTCCCAGACTTTTATCTCTGTTCTTAAACTGTTAGAGCTCTCCATGGGTTGCTCACAGGTCAGTTCTGTTCTGTGTTGGTGTTATCTTTCACTTTACCAAAACACTACAAGGTGGGGTTTACCATCTGGCCCCTAAATGAGTACCAGTACTATAACCTCATCTCCTCTTGTCAAGAAGCTGGAATAGCCTGCCCTAGGGTTTGTTGCTGAACAGTTTGGCATTGTGAAGTGAGCAGGGCATGGCTAATTAGCATCTTAAATTTTAGGATTTATAAAATTTATCAGTCAAGGGTAAGAAAGACAATTAGTAATTATAAATGAAGAAATGCTATTGTGCAAGGTGTCTTGTCAGTTCAGTTGTGTGAGGTTTAATGCAGAAAATGTTACTTGATGTTCAGGAAATTTAAAATGAGAATAATAATCAAGTTCCACTGCAAAGGAGTTTATAAAGCCCAGTCTAATTGCCTTTTCCCCTGATGCTTATGTATCTTTAATAGCTTGTGTACATTTTCTTCTACCTCATGGTATTGGAAAAGACACTTTTATTTTTCATTCTTTATTTCTGAAGTCCCACTATCTTTGTCTAATTTTTCAGTCATTCTGGTCTGAACCCCAGGGCAGGAAAGTTGCCATGTGATCCTGGGTTAGACTAGATGATTACATGCTGTTGCTGTGCTCAGAGTAGCTGGTAGAGTCCATAGGGTGACCTTATATTGTAGCTATCACATCGAGAGCTACAACATTACTTGTGCCTTAATGCATTGTAAATTGCTGTTATCATAGGAGAGATCTTTTCAAATGATCTTCAAGTCATGCCAGCTTTATTAAACCCGTATCTGTCCCTTGAATCACAAATATCCTGTCATGGAGAGCTGTGTATAAAGTAAATTTTATCTCCATATTGCGTAATGATGCAGAGGGATTTCACCTAATAGCAAAAAAGAAGAAAAAAATTCACATTTTTACTTAGGTTGAGGGAAGTATGTGCAGTACTCATAAGTAGCAACTACAACACAGTCAAAAGAATGCTGGAATTAGGCTGAACTTTCAGCATGTTTCTCACATTTCTGTTTTCTTGAGAAGTCACAGACCATCAAATTATGGTGATATGCAAAATATGCCCTGTAGATTTTTTTTTCCATGTCCAGAGGGCCTGGATTTATGTATATCTTACTGTTGGAGGCAGTAAGTCTAGGTGAAAAGAGCATTTCTGTAATGTTGCAACTCATTCATTTTATTGACAACTTCCCCCTGCATAGTGTAGCTTTAGTTAAAATTATTTCTACCATTGTTGAGAGAAGAGGTGTAAACATGGAAACTGTCTTGAAATATTTTCTCACAGCTGTGCTCTTGAATGCATACTTTTATATTTCTTATGTAATGTAATTTCTATTGCTTTTTAGAAACCTTTATGCTTCTGAATGTCCTACACACATTGACCTGGTTACAGCCAAATTATGTACCTCAGTCTTCTTTGGTTAAGCCAATGTTCTCTTTCTGGATCTCTTATGTTTTGGCAGGCAAGGCAGTAACTTCTCAGCTAGGACCCTTATTTTTTCTTTTCTCTTATTCCTGCCATAATCAGTCTTTTTTATTCATGGACTGTAGTTAGTTTCACAAAACTTAACAAAGAACCAGCATGGTAAAACTGTGTGTGCCATCTTATCTTCATTCCAGGGAAGCAGGAGACTTGCTGGTAATGATCCTCTGTGCATTTTCATCCTTGAGACATTGTTTGATTTGACTCCAGATGAAACCGGTGCTCCTATCTTCCTCTTCAGGAAGGGTCTTTATCTCCCCCATGTTCCTATTAGGATCATTAGAAGTTTGTTCCACATGTAACATCAGTTTATTCAGATGTGGCATATCCTTTTCATTTCTTCTTCCACAGTGTTCTGTGTAAACCCTTGTTTATTATCCATTAAGATCACTTAATATCTAAAGTCCATCGTAAGCATCACCTTATTAACTTGAAATCTCTTCATCAGCTTCTTTGTATTTCTTCATGTTCACAACTCATTTAATCATAATGATACGAGTTTGTCAATCACTTTTGTTGTAAGACCTGAACTGTTGTCTGAATGAAAGTCACGTACACACCCCAGTTCCAGTAAGGATATTTTTCTCACTGGCACCAATCCACCTCTCTGTCCTTCAGAGGAAAGCAGTTCTCTTGGCCTCCTCAATGTGCATGGAAATCGCTCCCAAATGGCCTGCTGTAATACCTCTTTTCCTTTTAATAAAAAATATTCTCTTCCAACCAGGTTTTTTTTAGCTGCTTCTTCCTACACTTTAATATTTTTAATATAATTTTGTGGTATTTGTGTGAGGAAGATACTGTCAGTGAAACCCGTATTTTGTAATTGTTGTGACTGGATTCAATGTACTCTCATTTCTAAACATGCCAGTCTTTATCCACTAAAAAAATCCCCAAAATTTGAAGAAACAGTGTGGGAAAATAAAACTATATGTTGTTACCCTTTATCTAAAGTGGGTTTAAAGGAAGAGCTAATGTGAACTTGCTCATGCTAAGATCTTTCTTAAGAGATTTCCATACTCTTAACTGTCTTCCGGGGTCTTGTAATGTCCCATTATTTTCAAAGTAATATTATCTGCCATCCTAGCAAAAGCTTTTTTTTTTTAATGTCTATGAAGTTCATGTACAATGAGCTCTTTGAATGCTCTTGCTAAAAGGCTATTCCTACACACTGCCATGGCCACTGACAATTTTTGGTTTTTGAGATCAGCCTGCTCTTTTCTAAGTTGAATGTCTCCTGCTTGTTTCAGCCTCCATAACAGTGTACCTGCCAAGCTGCTGCTGGGTATAGAAAGAAAGATGCTGTCTCTTGGTTTATTGTACTGCACAAGGAGTTTCCTCAGGAAGAAACCACCTTCCTTGTTTCAGGACCACATGAATGAGTTCATACTTGGCTTCAGTAGAATTTGCACCTCTTATCTTTCCCACCTCGGCCCATATTCCATGCACTTAATTAATGTTTCTATTTTTATGGCCTCCTTATCTATCTGAAAACTGCACTGCTGGTGTATGCCAGAAGGCCGTTCTGAGCAGACTGGTGTTCTTCTCCTGGCCTGTCTTCGTATTGGTACATACACACAGGTACACTGCATCTTCTTCCAAGGATGGCTAGAAGCATCTCATAGCCTTTTTATCTTTAAGAAAAACATGCCTGCTTGGTTAGATCAGTAGTAGTAGTATCCCCACTCTCCTGCAGCAGCGTCATGGAAAACAGGCAAAGTTGTCTCAGTTGTCAGTAACTCTCTTTGCTATATAAACTTGGTGGCTGTGACA